CTTCTGCTATCGGTATCGCCCGATTGCAACGTTCTTACTTGTTTTTATTCTCATTCTGTATGTTTTCATCATCGTTCATCATAATAAAATACTTTTGTATATCTATCTATACTAATATTGTTTTGTATTATTGTATGACGTTCATCAAAGCCTAAATTATTTTAGCTAAAAGGTAACATGACATTCTTTGACTTTTGGGCGGTACGAAGTTCGCCGGGTCACCTAGCTACATATATATATTTAGAGTTTATGTACAAATAAAACAGCAAACAATATTTGCAAATAAACTTAAATTGTTGCTTGAAAAAATTTAATTTCTTTTAATCCACAAGGCAAAATAATGTGAAGACCGTTTGCGTCAATAAATCATTAATCATATAACTCGCTCGATCGATTCTCGTCGAAAGAACGTCACACGAATAGCTGAACTCAATTCTCTCAAGAGAAAACAAATAAGTAGGCTCCAGTCGAGACTTCTCGACTAGGAAATACCATGAGATCTCCAAGCTGATATTCTACTCATTCTGCACATCTTTTATGCACACATGCATAAACACGCATCCACACGCACGTAAATCACACGCTCTGCTGAATGCGCAATAAGCAGCGACTGCGCCTGGGCTGAGCTACAGTGAGGGCAATATTATGATTATTGTAGTAGGACTATCTTTATGAAACTTTTAGAGCGTGATCATTTGCTGAACATGTGTGTAAATTTCAAATCACAAGTCTCTAGTACTGAAATACGTTTTTTTACAAATTGGGGCGAAGGAGGCGTGGTATATAAAATGTTGGTATATAAATCTGTGAATTAAAAAATTAATTTTTATTCATCGAATGTATATACACAGTGAATCCGAAATCTCTAGGTCTAAAAGTGTTCGAATTAGGCTGAAAAAATAGGGTCGACTTTACGATTATTCTCGATAGAAAAAGAAAAACTAAGACAAATTTTTACTGGGTATGGTATACACGAGTATGCATGTTCTCTAGCTCTTATATCTTCTGAGATCGGCTTGCTCATACGGACGGACGGACAGACGGGCGGGGCTATATCGACTCAGCTCGTCGCCCTGATCAAGAATATATATACTTTAAGGGGTCTGCCGCGCCTCATTCTGCCTGTTACATACATTTCAACAAAACCATTATACCCTATTTTCCCATTGAAAATGGGTTCAGGGTATATAAAAGAAACAGAAGTAAGAAAGCTCTAGTCGAGACTGCTCGACTACGAGATCCCCTGAACCCTTGGAGCAATAGATATTTCAATAATTTTTCGC